CAGATCTTCATATGGGACGATCTTACTCTTTTACTTCATTTATGTCAGCTCCACAGACAGGTTTTCCCTAATCATCCCATTTAAAATAATGCACGTGTGCATGCGTGCATTCATGCACACACAGACACAAAACAGTTACTCTCTGGGCCCCTTGCTACTCAAAGTGAGGTCCAGGCATCAGCAGCATCAGTGGCTGCATCTGGGAGCTATTTAGAAATGCAGAATCTCCGGCCCCTCTCCAGACCTGCTGAATGAGAATCTGCACATTAACAAGATCCCCAGGTGATTCGTGCACAACAGAAAGTCTAAAAAGCATTGTGCTACACAAGTGTTGTCCCATAGAAATATAATGAATCGCTGGTGTGTTTTTAAATGTTCTAGTAGACACATTTAAAAGGTAAAAAGAGGAGAAATTAATTTTGATAATATATTTTACTTTACTTATAATGAATATTATAATTTCGACATGTAGCCAATATAAAATTATGAGTGAGCAATTTAGCATTCTGTGTATTTTATACTTACAGCACATTTCAATTTGAACATTTCCCATGTTCAATAGCCATGCACATGTGGTAGCCAGCATACTGGACAAAGGAGCTCTGGGCCACCAATTACTTTACTTTTCACCATGGCCTTTATCACAACCAGGATTTTTACTACACATTATTTGGCTTGCTTGTGTGTTGTCCCCACTACCCTCCTCCTAAGATTTCAGTTCCAGGAGAACAGGTGCTTTACTGCCTTATTTATCATTTTATCCCCAGTACCTGAAACTGTATTGGGCACATAGGAAATATTTATTAAATATTTGTCAAATGAGAGAATAAAGAAAGGATATGACCTCTCTAGCACTTTGTGAGTGGCAATGTGGTGTTGGGGAAGAATCCAGCATTTTGAAATTGGACAGACGTGGGTTCAAATCTCAGCTCAGGCACTGACCAGCCAACTGACATTGGACCAGTCATCGACCCTCTTAAGCCACCTGTAAAATGGCAGTAATGCTATTCAGCTCACAGCATCATCGTGACACTCAAATGTTATAACCTGTCTCTGAATCACAACCACCGCAACAGGCATTCAATAAATGCCAGTGCCTCCATCCTCCTTCATTCTCTCTCTGGATACCAGGTGCAAATTATGCTGCTGACCACTGTCCACTGTCCCCTGGGAAGCATGAACATGACTTTTGGCAGCGTTTTCCTGAGTTGCTTTCCTCTAGCCAATGGGACATGTGTATTAACTGTTGACAGTCAAAACATCCTAACTCCATGGAGGATCACTTTCTGTCACCGTGGAGCGTGGTCAGGGTCACTGTACAGCCTGCAAGCCACAAGGGAGGAAATAGCTTGAGTCTCTGTCACTTTGATGAGTTCTGCAGCAGCAGCCAGTTGGCCTGTCCCAAGGCCCCATCCCTGAGAAGAGCTTAAGGTCTCTGCCTAGACAGCTTGTATCAGCTCACACTGAAAGGTGTGTTGTAGCTTTGCCCTTTTGGGGGGAAGGACAGGGCAGAAGGGATGGAGGGTTTAATCTACCCCGATTTATTAATCATCAGCCTGTGTCAATCCACCGAGTAAGGCTTACTTCTCTGTAGCTTTAACACACATTCTAATCCATTAGTCTATCTTGCCCTAAAAATCAGATGCACATGTTCTAATCGCAAATGTGTTTTTATATCACATTAGATCGACAGTGTAGGAGGAGAGCAAAACCCGGATTTAGAGATAACTGAAGTGACACCGAGAAAATAAAACTGCTAGGGCTGCTTAGTTGAATATAAGAAAACCCCAAGCCAGATGTGCTGAGAGCAGCCCCAATTTCTTTTTTTTTTTTTTCCTTTTTGTCTTTTTTCGTGACCGGCAATGGATTGCAACCCTCAGTGTCGCGCCCGTACCGGACCGGGACCGGCAACGGGATTGCAATCCTCGGTGTTGCACCCGCACCTTGCTCAGCCAGTGAGCGGCCGGTCTGTATGTGGGATCCATACCCTCGGCGGGAGCACCACCGCGCTTCCCAAGCGGTGCACTGTAGCAGTGCGCCACTGGGCCGGCCCCCCAATTTCTTCTCAGCAATCTCTCTTGCTGAAAACACGAAAACCGGGAACACTTGAAGAATTAGTAAGCTATTAGAAGCACATTTAAAATAAAAATAATAAGGGGCCGGCCCGGTGGTGCACTGCTACAGTGCGCCGCTTGGGAGCGCGGCTGCGCTCCCGCCGAGGGTTGGGATCCCACATACAGACCAGCCACTCACTGGCTGAGCGAGGTGCGGGCGCAACACCGAGGGTTGCAATCCCATTGCCGGTCACGAAAAAAGACAAAAAAAAAAGAAATAAATAAATAAGAATAATAACAAATAAATGGGGGGAATCAAAACCTTTAATTAACTTGTGGTTCACTAATCCAGCAAATAAATTCCAAATACCATACCAGCATGGGAAGGAATTATACTATTTAAGTACAGATGCCACCATGTAAAAGATTCAGAGTTGAACCAGGAAACCAAGGGGAAGGATTTCTGTTAGTGGTTTGAAACAATGCCAGTGTTTCCTTTTCTACAACACAAAGAGGAAGTCATCCCCTCCTCCTACATGGTGGGGACAGGGGGCGTGGGGACAGAGAGAGCCCTGAAGAGATAGAAGTAATGAAAATCTCATAAACTCCCTCAAAGCACTACTTTCTGTAATAAGGCTGAAGAGCCATTCAAGGCCAGTCCAAAGCAAACTTAGCTTCTGTGAGTCCAAGGGGCTCCTCAGAGTCTTCTCAAGCCAGCTTTGGCTAGCTAATAATTCCTTCTGTTAGATAGACATCTATTGGCAGGAAGCTTGTTTTTAAGTTTCTTCTCCAACACTTCCAATCAGCACCACTAAGCATTATAAGGCTCTACCACGGGCAAGATCGAGGACACAGATATATCACATGGTCCTCTTAAGTGAGGACCAGGGGAATCTTGTTCTATCGACACCTCTTCAGTTTAACAGGTTTATGAGTGGCTACCAAATATTGACACAGAGCCCCAAACACCACAAGTGCTGGCTAGAAGCAGGAGGCCTGGAGCATGACAGCATTGGAATAATACCTTCAGTAGCCGTGCCATGACAGTGAGGCAATTTATATACTTTCTCTTCCCAGCCTCAGTATAAAAGAACATAGGAAAATCTGGCATCTTCTATCCTTTCATTCAGAAAATTCTCCAGACCCTGCAGTGGGACTTCTTGACGTGCATCCCACCACGCACCCTTCATCAACTTTATTTTAAATCATCTGCGAAACACCCCCTTTTTTATTTCCAGCTGCTGCAAAGCAACTCAAGCACATGTTGATAGATTTGATCTTTATGCCTCCCTCAAAGGGCATTTGACACTCCTCACAAGATACACAGCTTTAAAATTAGAACTGGGGGAAAAAAAGAAACAGTTATCCTTATAGTGCCAAAGTTACCCCACAGAAGAAAACAGAACATTCCTATAACCAACAATTAAACAACTGAAGCCTTCCCAGACATCATACCCTTCTTTATTTTTCTGTCGTTGCATTAATCATCTTAACACCTTTTTAATTATAATCGCAAACTGGAAGCCATGGCTTGTGAAGTTATAAATACTGATTTTCCAGTTAAATTAGGCATTTGCTGTTTTATGTTTTGATAGGAAGGGGCTGTTTGAAGCCTCCTAAAATACTGCAATTAGTTCTCTCTGTTGAAACAGACAAGACATTAACAGACACATTTGCTATTTCAGTGTAATGTGCTGGAATGTTTATTCCTAAGTGTACTTCTCTCAAGCTTCTAAAGCATAAGGCATATTTTTTAAAGTGGAAGAAATCAATCACAATACACACATTTATTATATATTTCTGAAATTATTTCTAAAACTTTTCCAGGCTGTCATTTAAACCTAGAAAGTACATCTCTTCAACGGTAAGGAGACCTGTCAGGAAACAATCCTAATTTCACCTACTGGCTCTGTAGGGATGATAACATCACTTCAGCTGACAACGGCTGTGTTTCTGTTTGACAATTACAATTAATTACTGAAATGCAATCGAGATGGGGTCAACCATCCAGATCTGCTTTCCAGAAAGATATCAAACTAGAGGAAAGAGAAAAATAAAAAATAAAAAAAAAGAAAGCGAAGGAGGTTTGCATTTTGGGCACCTGAGCCAGTGTTGTTTTAAATGTTATGGCTGGCAAGAAAGGTGGATTATTAGTTTATTTTACCTGCACTTAACTTTCCAGTCCTCTCTTCTCCCTTTCTCTCACCACCGGCAGACGGTGGGAAAGAAAGGATATGAGCATCTCACAAGACATAAACTCCAATCTGTTGCAAAGCAGGAACAGATTAGAAAGGGCCCGGCGCAGGGCATAAAACTCTTAGGGCACCAACTGCTGTGTAGACACTGAGGCTCCTGATACAAAATCAACACAGCGTTCATTCAGCCAAGGGAGATATAAAGTTATGGAGGTGGGAAACACCCTGACTTTACTAGAAAGCCAAAACACCAGCATCTTCTTTTTAACTGCTCGCTATTCATTTTGCTCTGACCTTAAAATACTAAGTTGGATTCCAGCCACGCAAATGTGTTTAAGGGCGATTCTGAGAGATTCCAGGGGATCTCAAAGCCTCTCAGTCAATTTAGCTATCCCGTCTCATTCCTCGGCGTCCCCAACGCAGAGTCCCAAAGACCCACAAGTGCTTGGCTTAGGAAACACCCGCGGGCACCAGCGCTGGGGATTCCCAGGCTTGGAGCCAGGCATATTCAGAAAGCACCTTGGATGAGGAGCCTGAGGCAGCGTGGGGTGGCACCTCCTCTCCTCGCCCCGAAGTAAAGTGACAAGTGACCCTTATTAGCTAGAGTCCGGCTCTCTCAGCCGCTCCCCCTGAGCGACCCGCCAGGGCTCTCGGGACAGTACCTGGATTTCTAAAGGGCGTGGAAAGCAGCGGTTTCCCCTCCGCGTCTGCCCCATGCGTCTTTTCCATTCCGCCGAGCCCAGGGTCCTACCTGTACCACTCCAGTCCCTTTTCGTAGTTCCTGTCGAAGAAGTGCGGCTCTACGCCCACCGCCCGCACGTCCGGGTGCACTCGGATCGCCTCCAGCAGCGCGCGGGTCCCTCCCTTCTTGACCCCGATGATAAGCGCCTGGGGCAGCTTCTTCTCCCCGTAGTCGGGGGTGCTGACGGCGCCGCCCCTCTCACTGCTCCCGTTGGCCGCTCTCCGGCCTGCGAGCTCCTCGTCGGTGGTGCTGGACTCCTGCGCCTCCGTCTCCAGCAGCGCGCTCTGCGCTGTCATCATCTCGCTGGGGGCCAGCGGGGTCCGGGGCCAGGCGTCCCGGGAG